TGATCTTTCCAAAAAATTTATATGTTCATTGTTTTAACACGAGGAGTTCATATATTAAATTTCAATGAAATCGGTTGATTATTTCTCTTTATATACACAAAAATGTATATTTGGCCCGTAGTAAACGTCTAGTTGCCGATGCCTGATTTCTTCCAAAACATACGAATTTTTGCGGACGGTCGAGCTGAGCTTATATATAAAATTTCATGTAAATCGGTTGAATATTTTGTTCAAAATGTTCAAAAATGTAAAACAGGCCCGCTAAAAAGTGCAGTTCCCGAGGCCTGATATATACCAAAAGTTGATCGATCCGTGCCATGGTGGAAACAAACTTACATATAAAATTTCATCAAAATCGGTTCAGTAGAACTTGAGATACACGCGTGCACACACAGACCGACAGACCGACAGACCGACAGACCGACAGACCGACAGGTTGCTAAAAATAGTTTATTTACACTTCCCTACTATGGAAAAGTACGTTCCCACCGAAAACTCGATATGCAAAATTTGTTGCCATCACATAACCTACCTATTGTTTACACAATACGGTCGGTAATAAATGGTTACATAGAATATAAAGCGGCGCATTCTTATAATGAATCAAAAGCTGGTTGCGCTATTTTGATAAGGAATAATATAAAACATAATGAAATAAGTAAAGTAGAAAGAGACGATAGCCAATTTGTTGCTGTGCGAATAGAGTCTTATAAACAAAATTTCGATGTTGGTGTGCTTTACTGTCCTCCGGGACGTGATTTAAAGAGTGGTTCATTCAAAAATCCCATGAATCTTCTTAAAAAAAGGTTTATTCTGGGAGGTGAATATAATGTGAAACATATTAATTGGGGTTTTAGATTAACCTCAACAAGAGGTAGAGAGCGAAGAAAAGCTATTAAAGACATTGGTTGTGACCACCAATTCGCAAGTGATAGAAATAAGATAAGAGATCTGCTAGACTTCTTTACTATCAAGAAAATTTTGAGACAGTTACCAAGAAACAAAACAAACCCTCATGTTGATTAATAAATCCACTGACTGAACTAGTTTAAAAGAAGAGATAGAGAATAAAATAAACTTAAGAATTAAAGTATGAATCCAAGATGATTTGGAGTCTGAGATAAAAAATTTTTAATAAAATCATACAAAGCGTTGCCTGGAATAATACAAAACAATGTGAGTATAAATCCGTGGGTATGACTTACCCAAGAGAAATACTGAAAATGATAAGCGAAAAGAGAAGAGCTAGACGTAGATGGCAAAACTCACGAGATCCGGCAAATAATACTGCACTCAATCGACTCACTCAGAATCTTAAAAAAAAAATAAGAAAAATCAAACAAGATTCATTTGATAATAACATTAAAAATTTGTCAGTCGAACAAGAAAGTAATTATTCCTTATGGATGGCTGCAAAAAATATTAAAAAGCCAATATTACATGTCCCCCCTATTAAGGGAACGGATGGCAAATCGGCAATAGAAAATGAGGATAAGGCTGAAATATTTGCAGATCATCTTAAATAAATTTTTAGGCCAAAAGACATACACTCAAACATAAATATTGCAATGGAAAATGTGAGAACAGAAGACGTTATCGCTCCATTTGCACAAAGAGAAATAGTGGAAGAAATAAAAAGTTTAAAGTCAACCAAAGCACCGGATTATGATTTAATTACCTCTGAGACACTGAAGCAATTACCAAAAAAGGGTATAGTAATTTTGAGTTTTTTAATGAATTCTGCATTTAGGTTAAAATATGTGCCTAATGCTTGAAAGATGACCAAGTCTTATAGACCAATTTCTCCGCTACCAATTTTGTCGAAACTTTTGAAAAGTTATTACTAAAAAGAATAGGACTTTAATTGAGCAGAGCTCATTAATTTCGAACCACCAATTTGAGTTTAGAGCAGAACATTCAACTACTGATACAAATATTATTGAACAAGTCCTAGAGGAAAAGCAAAGTTGTGCAACAATTTTTGCACAAGTAAATTTTACAAATAAAGTTCTTGTAAATCCCCCCACATGTTAATTTAAATTGGGTAAATGTTGCGCAGGAAAATGCGCCAAAATATCTAGGAATGAAACTGGATGTTAAGCTAAAATGGAAAGAACATGTTAAGAAGAAAAAGGCAGAATTAGAACTTAAATAAAAAGAAATGTGTTGGATCCTAGGTCGCAAGTCAAGGTTGCCAATACACAAAAAGATCCTGCTCTATAACCAAATTATTAAACCGGTTTGGTTGTATGGTATCCAGTTGTGGTGATGTGCCAAACAAATACATATCCAGCGAATACAAACGTTCCAGAATAGGGTTTTGCGGAATATAGTGGATGCCCCTTGGTATATGCGAAATGGAAACATACAGCTCGTCTGGAGCAACATATCAGCGTAGAGGCCTCTCGGCTCTTTGTTATATGGGATTCTCCCAGAAGGCTAAAAAGGACTTTGTCTTCTGATTTAGTGCAAAACGCGCTTCACCAAATTGTGGACCGTTGAATCTCTTTCAATCTATGTATATTAAAGAAAATTTGATGGTTGGTCTAAGGAGACTAGAATCAGGTTAAGGTTTTTGTGGTAAAACACATAACTAACTATGGGTTGTCAGGGAATGGCATGTTAGTAGCGTTCATGCTTTCCTTTTTCATTCGATGAAAAAAAAATAAGTAATTATAGCTGACCTTTAATAATTAAAACTTTTACTTTGCATATTTATTGGTTAAAATATATTAGTTACATATGTATACAAAAATGTAACCAATAACAACAAATTATTATCTCTATGCTATAATTTTTGTCAAATTTAAAATATAAGTAAAATTTTTTAAAGTTCTTTAGAAATTTAGACATGGTATGACTTTCGAACATACTTATTTTACCAAACATTCTATTTTTGCAGATTTAAAGTTGCAATTTGCCGGAGATATCTATTAACTTTAAGTTAGCACTAATTATATAAAATACCCTATATTTTCTTTAATAAAATTTAATTTAATAAAAAAATTTTTAGTAAAATTTTCTAATAAAAGGGAATATGCTTAGAGTTAGGTGAATTTACCTTACAAAAATGTTTCATTTTAATATTTGATTTATTTTGATTTTTTTTCCGTAGTTTAACTCAGTATCCTTTTATAGTCAATAAGGAAGGTCTGTATCAATTGAATTTCTATAAATTTTAGGAAATATATTTTTAATAAAATTTCTTTTAAATAAAAATTTTGCCCTTTTGGCTATTTTTGCTTGTAAATGCAGTTTTATCTAATGCTGGAAAATTTACAAAAGTGAAGACAGGAAGTAGTAATTAAGTTAATGGACAAATAAATTAAAAATAAAAATAATCTTTAAACATTATAAGAAAAGAAAAATAAGAAAATCTTTCAAGAAACTTTCACAAATAAATTTAGACGGTGCTATAATATTAAACAGTAAAGTACCTGCTAGCTAAGATAGAAACATTAAAAAAAAACAGAATTAGAAAACAAATATAGAAATAAAAGTGTACAAATAATAAATCCCATATGGACGTAAGGTATTCACTTATGGAGCTGTGGCAAGCAAATGCATGTCGAATACATCCAAAACTAGGTCCTTCGTAATATGATGGGTTCCCGCTAATATGTAAATAATAGTGACATTAAGAGGGATTTACGTGTCTCTGGAGTATGTGATAAAATAAGAAACTTTGACATAACATAGGACGAACATTGAGCAGCGTGCAGGTTATAAAATACTGAGACGAACACGTCATGTCGATTTACCCCAAATTGCTGAAACAACACCACCCTGCCTCTCTTCACAGGAATGCCTACATTACAAAACCGCGATGATCAAAACTAAATTAATTTTAAAACCATATTTGTCTAGTTTCAGGAAGTTATGATAAGTAAGGTATATTTTAGGTCGGGTTAGGGTCCGCCAATATTGATAGATTTGACGAATATTCGGTTCTGCCTATACTTTTAATTCGATGATTATTAACACACGTATGAAAAAAAAATGTTTCTTTCGTGAACACACGGGCATAAAATGGACTTTAACGAGCCGCCTGGAGGATTTGGAATATGCAGATGACACCGCTCTACTGCTCCACACGCTTTCAGACATACAAGCCATGAAAATAAATACAAGAATTCCGAATCAATGCGGCAAACACTATCTCTTTCGTCATAAATACTACAGCTATACAAGATGTCGAACAATTCAATTATCTCGGCAGTATAATATCGTGAACCAAAGGGGTCAAAGAAGACATTGAAAATAAATTAAAACTTGCTAAGGCGCATTTAGCACATTATGGACCATATGAAAGTCTTTACACTTATCCAGAAGCTGAGAATATTCAACACATGTGTGAAGTCGGTCCTGTTATATGGCTCCGAAACATGGCTAGTGAAAAATGAATACACAAATAAAATACAGGTATTCATAAATAGAAGTCTAGGAGTCATCTGCTGTGTTTTCTGGCCGAGGCGAATCAGTGACACAGACCTGTGGGCTTTAATCTACCAAGAACCAATCACAAGGGTTATAAAGAAGAAAAAATGGGGATGGATAGGCCATACATTTGGACGCTCACCTGAAACCATCACAAGAAAGGTATTGGCTAACGTGGCATTGACAGAAGTAAAAAGAATGGCACCTAAAAGACTTTGTTGGAGAAGCTTCGTGGAAGCCCTATGCTCCCAAGGTGAGTAAAGCAGGAACTAAAAAAAAATTTTGAAACTCGACTATATGAATTGCTCCCAAGGTGAGTAAAGCAGGAACTAAAAAAAAATTTTGAAACTCGACTATATGAATTTATTTTTTATTTTTCTAAAATGTCACGAAGAAAATACTATACTATTTATTATAAGTAAACTAAAAAATAAAAAACTAAAACGAAAATACAATGATAATTTTGTATTTTGTAGGAGAAATTGTGATCTGCGGAGCTTAGTGTCTCGTAATTAAATCAAAAATCATATTTAATTTTGCAATTTTTCTTTTACAAAACTTACCTCCATTACTAGATTAACACAGTCTTGAGATTCTTTGCAATCCAACAATGCAACAACATTTTCATGGTGCAGTTCTGTCAATTCTTTCAAAATTTTTATTTCCTTGCCAAGTAAATTTTGCGACTTAATTAGCCCTTTCTTCGTTATACACTTTATTGCAACCGGAAAATTAGATTTCTGAAAAATATAATTATGAAAAAAGTAAATTAAAAGGTGTATCAAAGAAAAGCAACCGCGTAAGTTAAATCACATGGTTGACTGAAATTTTTCTAGTTTTACAATCTTTAAATATTACATTTTTTACCGAATTTACAAAGAATTATACGGTTTTGCAGAAACTGTGCAAAAGCAATTAGTTTTATGGCTTATACTTAATGTATAAATGTATATACGTAAATATATCCCTAAAATTAAAAATTTTAAGAACAATTCATAGACAAACAGTAACATGTCTACAAACTGTTACCCAAAAAAAATTAAAATATCTATATTATATTTTACAAGATTTTTTCAGTTCATGAACAGGTATACATATAATCTAATAAATAACAAAAACAAAAAAATGAAAATAGCAAAAGAGAATACTGGGTAGATACATTACTCAATTGATTATACATACTGTAAAACAAAAACAAAAAATGAAAAGCGAAAAGCGAAAGAGAATAAAAAAAGAGTAATAATATTTTTACCGACCGTATTGTGTAAACAATAGGTAGGTTATGTGATGGCAACAAATTTTGCATATCGAGTTTTCGGTGGGAACGTACTTCTCCATAGTAGGGAAGTGTAATCTATATTATATTTTACAAGATTTTTCCAGTTCATGAACAGGTATACATATAATCTAATAAATAACAAAAACAAAAAAATGAAAATAGCAAAAGAGAATACTGGGGAGATACATTACTCAATTGATTATACATACTGTAAAACAAAAACAAAAAATGAAAAGCGAAAAGCGAAAAGCGAAAGAGAATAAAAAAAGAGTAATAATATTTTTACCGACCGTATTGTGTAAACAATAGGTAGGTTATGTGATGGCAACAAATTTTGCATATCGAGTTTTCGGTGGGAACGTACTTCTCCGTAGTAGGGAAGTGTAAATAAACTATTTTTAGCAACCTGTCGGTCTGCCGGTCTGTCGGTCTGTCCGTCTGTCGGTCTGTCGGTCTGTCGGTCTGTCGGTCTGTGTGTGCACGCGTGTATCTCAAGTTCGGCTGAACCGATTTTGATGAATTTTTATATGTAAGTTTGTTTCCACCATGGCACGGATCGATCAACTTTTGGTATATATCAGGCCTCGGGAACTGCACTTTTTAGCGGGCCTGTTTTACATTTTTGAACATTTTGAAGAAAATATTCAACCGATTTACTTGAAATTTTATATATAAGCTCAGCTCGAACGTCCGCAAAAATTCGTATGTTTTGGAAGAAATCAGGCATCGGCAACTAGACGTTTACCACGGGCCAAATATACATTTTTGTGTATATAAAGAGAAATAATGAACCGATTTCATTGAAATTTAATATATGAACTCCTCGTATTAATACAATGAACATATAAATTTTTTGGAAAGATCAGGGCTCGAAAACGGATTTGCGGGTCGATTTTACATTTTTCACCATTTTGAAGAAAGTATTCAACCGATTTACTTGAAATTTCATATATAAGCTTTGCTCGATCATACGCAAAAATTCCTAACTTTTGGAAGAAATCAGGCATCAGCAACTGGGCGTTTACTACGGGCCAAATATACATTTTTGTGTATATAAAAAGAAAATAATCAACCGATTTCATTGAAATTTAATATATGAATTCCCCGTATTAAAACAATGAACATGTAAATTTTTTGGAAAGATCAGGGCTCGAGAACTGATTTGCGGGCCGATTTTACATTTTTCACCATATCCACAGAACAAATTGATGGAATTTCTTGAAATTTGATATTTGAGTTCTGGTTGTTACCGAAACTAACTGGCGAGCATTTCAGAGAATTCGGGTAGCACAAAGCGAAACTCTCCTAAGAGCCAAATTTACATTTTTCTAAGTATGTTAACTATAAGCTTACTAATGTCCTAAAAATTGGAAAGAAGTATTTAACAGACATTTTTATAAAATTCTGTAACGCTTTCATTTAACTAGACAATACACAATGCGGTCGGTTATGTGCTGACCACATCAGATTTTTTTTGTTTTTTTTGCTTTACTACCATAAACAAAAATAAAAAGCAAAAGGAAGCGAAATATTTTAAATGAGTTAAGTAAGAGTAAAATAATTTTTTGTTGTTGTATTTAACATGGAATGGAATTAAAAAAAATAAAACTAAAAATTGTGAGAGATATAAGAACACGAATAACGTTACGTTACGTACTAAGGCAATTATTCTTCGTGTGCTTGCGAAATTTCAATTGGGTAAGTAGCCAAGCCAGGTCTGTATAAAGAAAAGAAGCATTGATTTTTTATTAATTCACATTCACTTTGGTTTTAAAGTTTAACGTGAAAGGTACTATTTCCAATTGCGGATTCTTTTCTTTTTAAAATATGGATAACAAACAAAACAAACGTAAAGAATATATGAAAGCATATCGTGCAGAAAATTCTAAAAAAATTAAAATTCAAATGCAATCTTATTATGCAGCAAATCGTGAAGCAATTCTTGAACGAAAAAGTCAAAATACAGAAGCGACTTCAACTCGGAAACTAACAGTGACACATATTACATCTTAAAATTTATTAAATTAAAAATATTTCCATTACTTTTATTTATCATTAGTATTCAAACCAATATGATATTTATGCATATACAAGTATATACCTGCATATGTATGCCATAATATGTACAAATTTTTCTAAACTTATTTTAAAATTGATTGCCACAATCCTGTTTTTACAACAGATAATACTGCTTATAAGCAAACCACAGGGGCCCCTAGTTTATAATTTATTTAAGTAACTTAATGTCGATCAAGTTAACCTAGATTAATTTTCAATTTTGGAAATTGTTACTGTAAAAATTGAGCTAACTTACAAAAATATCTTCATAATAAATTGCTACATCCCTCCAAATTCTGCTTTTAATCTATGCCTAGCTATTGATTATATTACTTCTCTTATGAATTCAGCTGATGAAGTATTATTATTTGGAGATTTTAATTTTCCAAATATTTTCTAGATCCCTGATGATGAGGAATGTTACTTAATTCCTAATCAAATAGTAAATGATTTTGAAGCAGTTCTAATTGACAGCTGTAACGCTAATGGCCTTCAACAAATTTCTAATAAACTAAATTATCACAATAAGCAATTGGATTCAGTTCTGACTGGTATAATCTAATCTCTTATGATTGTAGTTTACCTTTAGTCAAAATTGATAACTATCACTCACCAATTTGTTGTTCTTACTTTTATGAAAATAAAACTGAAATTTTGTTGGAAGCAAATTACAAATTTAACTTTTCTAAAACTAACTTTATGGTTTTAAACAATTATTTCCGTTCAATCGACTTTAACTCACTTTTTTCAAACTTAGATCTTGAGCAAATGCTTAGTATTTTTTATCAAACTCTTAATCACGCTGTTAATGAATTTACGCCTACTATACGTGATCGGTGCGTAAATTCTTCCCCACCGTGGTTTGACAAAGATTTGAAAAAATTGAGGAATAAAAAAATAGAGCATGGAATTTGAGAAGAAAATCAGCTTTGATAAAGTGCGTATGTAGCGCACGAAATATATTAGCGAAAAATAAAAGTATTTTATTCCGAATAAAAGGAAGTTTTCTTTTCACACCAATAAAAAAAAAAAAAAAAAAAAAAAAAAAATTATATTTCGGAAAAATTATCAACCATTGAAAAAAAAAATTTTTGAAAGAGCATGGAATTTGTATTTAAAACATAAAAATGGATACAATTATAATAAATTTGCTTATCTCTTTAATATTTACAAGGTTAATCTTCGATCAAAATATGACAATTACCTTACTAATATGGGATATCAAATCAAAAATAATCAAATCTATTTGGAATTTCGTTAATTCAAAAAAAAAAAATGCGATCAATATCCATCTTTTATGAATTATATGGGCGTCTCGTCTAATAACTCATTTGATATAACAAACTTCTTTCGTGAATTTTTTTCCAGCTCTTATGGTAGTAATATTTTTGAAGTTGATTGCAATAATTTTAGTCGTTTACATAACTTTCCAATATTACCGATTTCATCAATAGATTTTTGAATTTCTCGAGTAAAAAAATATTTGGAAATGCTTGAGTTAGATTGTTCTCCAGGGCCTGATAATGTGCCTAAAGTGATAGTTAAAAATTGTTCTCTCTATTTAGCAGGTCCACCATCTATTTTATTTACTCATTCACTTTCTTGTGGTCATTTCCCACAGTCTTGGAAGAAGTCCTTTATTAGACCTGTCCATAAAAAAGGACTTAAAAATGATGTGACCAAATCTTAATGATTTTTAATTTTATTTATGACCAATGTTCACGTCGATTAGTGTCAAATCAGCACGGTTTCGTTAAGAAACGGTCTACTACAAGTAATTTAGTGGATGCGACTTCCTTTTATTTAAATGCCATTGGATCTGGTTTCCAAACAGATGTCATCTACACTTGATTTCCCTTCAAATTTGTTGGATTAAATCCTATTTGTTAGATCGCAAGCACTATATTTTATTCAGATCCTGCACCTCAAATCCGATTGTTGCTAATTCTGGGGTTCCTCAAGTTAGTCATTTAGGTCCTTTATTGTTTATTATAGCGATAAATGATGTTATTTCTATCATTAATCATAGTGAAATTATGATTTACGCTGATGATATGAAAATCTTCAAAATCATTTGCTGCCTTGATGATTGCGTCAAATCGCAAGATGACATCTCCTCTTTTTCGGCTTGGTGCAGCCAAAATAACCTTCCCCTTAATGTTAGTAAATGTGCGATAGTTAGTTATACACGTAAATCTGTTCTGATTTTGGCTGATTCTTGTATAAGTGAGAAGTCAATAAATACAGTCAATTCTTTTCGGGATTTGGGTGTTATATTCGATGACAAATTGACTTTAAGACCTCATTATAATACCGTAATTAATAAAACCAATTCAATGCTGGCTTTTGTAAAGAGATGGGGTAAAGAATTCAATGATCCATACATATTAAAATCTTTGTATA